CTTCTGCGCCTCCAAAATATGTACCCGGGGCATGACTCCCACCTTTCCACCCTCACTGTGTATTGTTTAATCAGGCTTTTTGGTTTGCTGTTAATTAACTGGCTGGTTTTGGGTTAAATGCCTATTCGGTAAATTCCTGCAGACCGATGGCACAGTGCATTGCTACCACCGACCATCGATGTGAACGCCAAATAACAGGCAGCGTGTTTTCTATTGTGCAATAACAATTTGAAAAATGAAGATGAGTTATATATATATATATATACACGTTCCAAATAATGTACTTCCAAAGAATATGTGTTCTACAGAGAGAAGTAGAGGTGTAGATACGTATATACATGTATATAGATAATGTGAATATGGATATACACACATAGGTAATGCAGGTATAGTTTATGCCACTGTTCTATCTCCTCGGCATATTTAAAAATAAATCCGAGGAGACTTTGTTGCGTTTTTGTTTTGGTTTGGTTTTTTTTTTCCAAGAACTCGTCCCGCATTTAGCCCCCGATGATTGCCACGTGGGTAAGCAGCCGTACTGCGGGTTTGCGCTCCCGCCTGCCGAGCCCGGCCCGTACACCGCCCACGGAGCAGGTCGGAGCCTCAGCCCTGGCTCTGCAGTACTGGGGGAGAAGGATATGCGAAAAAGTCCCGGCTGGGCGGGCGGGGGCTCCCGGGGCTGGCCCCGGGCACAGCCACCGGCTCGACGGGGCCTCCCCGCACCCTCCGCCCCCGCGGGAGCACTGACCCCGATTCTCCTGCGAAAACACCTGTTAAGCTTTAAAGTTACGCGACCGCCCTTCTGCCATGGGGAAAACAAACCACGGCGCGCTTCAGGCCGGCGGAGGGAAAGTATATAAAAAAGAGAAGGCCTTTTATTGGAAGAAACCCCACCGGCAGGCGAGGCACTGCTTACGCGAGCTACGCCCCAGCCTTCTGCACCTCGCCGCGGAATGCCGAGGAAAGCCTCGCCATCGCAGCCCGCGGTGCATTTTCCGTGCCAGACCGCGCGCAACAGCCGCTCGCACTCTGCGGCATGGCCACAACTGCGACTGTAACAATAACACCACCGATAATTACAATAGCAATAACAACAGCAGTAATAGCAGCAAAAATAGTAATAGTAATAGCAGTACTAGTAGAAAGAACAAGGGACCGCGGAGGGACAGGTGACCAAGGGTGACAGGAGGACAGGGGAGCCGATGCCGTGCCACATACCGGGATGGGGCGCGGGTCCGGAGTAGCGGCGATCACCCCGAGGGGAGCTGAGTGCTTACCAGTTCGCGGCTTTGCCCGCCTGCGGAGGAGCCCGAGAGGGTCGCTATAATCCATTTTGCACCGTCGGAGCAATCCGTGTGCCGGAGGAGATAGCGGCAGCGGGGGCATCAAGCGGTGGGAGAGGAACGAGGGGCTGGATGCTACGCGGCTGCGGGCGCGGGTTTCCGCGCATCCCTCCGTGGGCGCGGGAGAGGAGGCGGTGCGGGGCCAGGGAAGTGTCAGTGCGGAGGCGGCGGGACCGGCCACGGGTTTGGGGTCGCGGGACACAAACATGAGGGCGACTACCATACACCTCAGCCTAGACAAAGGTTAGAAAAAGAGGGGCTGAGGCTCTCTGAAGGCAGAATGCAGGGGGAAATTCGCCAGGGAAATCAGGAAAAGGCCATGAAAGCGCTCGCTGCCTGCACATGACCAGCCGCAGCCAATGACGAGCCCAAATAGGTCATAAAAAGGTCTATTACCAAGTTGTAAATTTTCTTCAAACAAAAAGGAATTTACTGCAATTCCTTGCGGATTTTGCACATACTGCTTCCCAGCGCCATGTTTTTTTCGCTCTGCGCTTTTACTGAGTCTTCGGTCCCGCCTGCCCGGGAGCGGTGGCGGAGCTCTGCAAGCACTATCGGGACGCGGGAGATCCGCACGAGCAGCGGAGAGCGGGGCAAGAGGTGGCAGAGCCGCATAAAGAGGGGCAGAGCGCTGTGCCGAAGGATCCGTTTCTTGCCCCAACGAAAGGGGTCTTAACGCGCATCCCCACTCCCCCTCATACCCCTCCCTCCCTTCGCCCGCTCCGCCGGGCACTAAAAGAAACCACATCTGTTTTAGCGCCCACTACTGAAGCGGAAGCCGTCGCCGACATAAAAATAGTCCGAGCTTCTTCCCCACCCTGCAGTGTGCGGTTCCCGGCAGGTTGCGCCAGACTCTGTCACCGCGCCCAGAGTGCCTCCACCCCCGATAAAACCTTTTCGGGGCACCATCAGGAAAAATCTAATTCCTAGAAAGCATTCTAAAAAAATAAAAATGGGCCTCTGTCCACAGGGATTGCTCGGCTCGGAGACGGAATACTGTGGATGTTTCTTGCTCAAGTTTTGTTTCAAGGAATAGCCAGAGCCCTCCATCCGTGACCTCCCTGCTGATTGTAACTGCTAACAAAAGTAAACACGCCTGAAGATGTAGGATCAATGTTGGATCTTTTTAACCCCTTGCTTCAGGCAGTTGCACACCTGTGAATATCACATCCATTCTGAGTGTCCCTTGGCGGAAGCACTGGCAGCTTTCGTGATGTCTCTGCAGCACTCGCGGCTGCGCTGAGCTGCTCCACTAGGAAATGGAGAATATCCGCGGAAACCAAAGTGGCGGTATATCCGCGCGATGGCCGTTTCCGACGACCTTTCGCCGCCTCTAGCGCCGCGACCCACACAACTACGGCTTTCTCTTGCCAAAATCCCAGTGTCTGCTCCGGATCTCGATGGTTCCGATTTTATGGGAACCTTAGTCAGTTTCTAGTGCAGTTTTCTATTTTCTTAGCAAGTCCCCTAGTAAGACAGAGGGAGAGATTCATATGTCGGGCTACAAGGGGAAATACCTTAACTACAGCGATGATTTGTTTTTCCTGGTAAGACAGGGACGATTCCAGCTACCACTAGGCCTTGACCAATTACGTGAGCATAGGAAAGTCAGTTTTCGCCTGCGTGGCTGCGTTCCCAGTCGGCCCTGGGAGAGCGACGCTAACGGAAACTTCTTAAGGAGTATTTTAATTTTATTCTCTTTGTCTGGTAATTAAAAACAACTACTTCAGTAGCTCTCCCCTGGACAAATACTAGCCTAAGAAGTGCTCCCCTGGGGTATGAAGGACGTGCCTTCCCCTCGCGGGCAGCCCGTGTTTGCAGCCATCACAGCTTTCCCCACGGCAGGGCCCGTCGGTACCATTCTGCGCCCAACCTCTGCCGCAAATGCAGCAGAGTGAAGAGGTTTTGCCCTGCCGGGAGACCAAACTTGCCCGTGCAGCCGGCACGAGTATTATTTTGAAAAGCGATGGGGTTTTGCGCGTCTGGCGACTGGTATTCTTTAAAGGGGCAGCCAACAGCACAATCCTCCCTGGACACTAGGGGTATCGGTGTATTTATGCAAATCCATGCAGCAAAATGTTTACTTCACCGCTTTGTTGCAATTTCCCCTGCTTTACAACCTTTAGCCAACTAGGCGATTAAAATAAAACCGAGAACAATAGCTTCTCTTGCTCGTGCCTCCCTCTAGAGCTAGCGCTTAGCAAGAGTGGAAACGTGCCTGCCTCGTTGGCGGGGAGGGGGAAGAGGAAGGGAAACGAAATGAACCAAACCCGCCCTACAAATCCAGTCCCCGTGGACGGCGTTTCCTGATGCGCCGGGTGCGTTCCCGGGAGCAAAGCGGTGGGTACAGGAGAAAGGCCCAGGGCCGGGTGGACTCTGCGGCGGCCGGCACCTCCTCGGAACCCTGGCTGTGATTTTCTGAGCGAGGCCTCGGCTCAACCCCGGCCTTGTCGGGAGCATGCTAATTTCTGTGCAGATAATAAAAATATGTCGTGTTTGTCGCAGTGTCTGTCGCGTCCATTCGATTTCTGCCTCTGCCTACTGCTCCTAAAAAGGACTGCTCTCGGCCGTCCTGTTTGATACTGCGCTCTGCGAGAGCCCGCTGCGAAGCAGGAGCAAAGGGAGGGAGGACAGAGGGGGAGAGAAATTAAACCATTTTACTCATCGGAGAGGACCTCTCCACCCATGGCTGCGGGAACTGTTCAGCAGGCTCTGTCCTCAGCTTCTTCCTCCTCTGGGAAACACGCCCGAGCTGTATGATTTAGGGGGGGAAAGGTCCTTCTCTCTGTCTACGCAAGGTTTAGGACCCCTAGCAATTAAAGCCCCCTAGGAACCCCCACGAAAGGCCATAAAAGCTTTGCATTTCTCTGCTCGTCCGCCATCTACGGGGGACGCTAGGCCCGAGTTGTCCGTGGCTTGCGTGGCGGGGCTGGAAGCCCCGACCGGTGGGGATCAGAGCTACGGCCGGCATGGGGCCAGCGTGCTCGCCGGGCCGGTCCCCCTCCAGCCGGGCCGGCAGCAAACGCCTTCGCGGGGAAAATGTCCGCGTTTGCCGGCAAACGTCCCCTGCCCCGCCGCTCCGCAGCCCGCGGTGGGGAGCAGGAAAAGGTGAAGCAGGGCCCCGGCGCACACGTCGGGGACTCCCTGGGCCGATCCGCAGCGTGAACTCAGCTCGCAGGTTGCAATCCTCGCTGGCCGCTGCTTAGACCACGACCCCGCAGTACCCGAACGAAAAGCAGGGTTTGTGAGCAATGTGCCGTTCCAGACCCCACAGAAACACCCAGAATCTCAGGACCGGACGGGGGAAAGGCGCAGGGGAGAGTTAGTCCAGATCTGTGGAGACTCTAAAAGTTACTGTAGGAGTGGTTTACAAAAAGGATATCAGGATTCCGAAACATTTTATAATTGAATAAATTTGGTTTATTTTAATCAAATATCATAGCAGAAGGTTAAAAATATTTCTAAGGTATTTTCTTCAATTTCATTAAATTTATATAATTTATTCAACATAAGAACAAGAATTAAAATAGTACAAGTGCACTTGTCTTGATTAATAAGGCATTCTTAAATTTCTTGCTTATTGGTATTTATGATTAGGAAGTTTATGTCGTTTCCCGCAATCACCATCTTTTAAGATTGCAAATATATATATATATATTTATATATAATTAGAAATTTATTGCTACAAACTCTGTATCAAATTTGCAAAAAAAAAAAAGTAGATGAAATATTAAATTTAAAGATTGCTCTGGATAAGCTTATAAACAAAATAAACCCCCAAACAAGTGAAGCATCCAAAGGAGGGAAATGTCAAGTGGAGGGACACGAGGTCACTCGTCCTACGGCAAGATCACGTACAGGGATAGTTGAGCCGAGATGTCAGGCTGTGGTCCCAGTTATTTTTGATTGCCTTTCACGAAGGGCAAAAATTAATTTGTCTGGCCTTCAGCTCTGTCTTCTTCCAGATCATGTGCTTCCTTTTTGGCCTCCCCTTCCTTTCCCTCCTGTCTGGAAGCGGGGAATTTGTCCTTGTTGTTCTCTTTTTTCCATTTCATCCTCCTGTTCTGAAACCAGATCTTTACCTGCCTCTCGGTGAGTCCTAGTGCATGGGACACCTCGATCCTCCTCTTCCTGGTCAGATAGGGGTTAAATAGGAACTCCTTTTCCAGCTCTAGAGTCTGGAATCGGCTGTACGTTTGCCTTCCTCTCCTCCTACCCGGCGCTGCTGTTTAAAACAAAAACATAGGGGTTTGGACGTTGGTGTGGCCGTTGAAAACAAGGCGTAGGCAGGGAGCGAGGGCTCCAGTCCCTCTGGAATTCCTCAAGAGAAGCCCCATAGAACCGAAGGGAGAGAAAACAGGGCACGAAGGAGTCTAGAGCTTTACATAAGTGAGAGAAAAACATCAATAGCAAATGCACGAAGTGCCTCAGCTGTCTCTCTGCACAGAGGGTTGCGGGTAGACTTTATGGTCTTTTATTCCACCCCCCCCCCCTTCGCTTCTAGACCCTACACCCTTCCCGTTCAGGCAGCAGAGACGGGAGACGAGCGAGCGTGCCAGCTGCGCCTCGGGGTTCGAGAGGCGCAGTCCCAAAGGCTACTCTTGGGTTGGTAGCTGCCTTCTGGAGAGGTTTCTGTTTGCTTACTGTATCGTCTTAATATCGCAAGCCACCGCAGTAAGAGGAATCGCGGGGAGAGAGGTAGGGAGTGAGGGAGACAGAGGCAGGGAGACAGAGGCAGCGAGAAAAAAGCGGGAGGAGGAAAAGAAAGTTTCAAACTCAGACGTGAGATGGAAGCAAATTTTTGACTGCGTCCAACCTTGTGGTCTCATCCAGGGAAACATTTGAGCAGGAGACGAGCTCTGATTTAAGTGGTCTGGTTCCTCGCCAATATTAGCACTGGACGATTTACAGTCAGGATATTGTACCAGCTCGGCCTCTTGCTGTGTCGTAAAAATCTGCTGTCTCTGTAAGTTATCGTATCCGTAAAATTTAGCGGGCTCCCCGTGACAGGTAACCCCGCTGCAGGGGGCAGGAGGCGGAGGCGCGGCTGGGGGAGGAGGAGGCGGCTGGTAGGCGGCCGTGGGGCTCCCCCCGACCGGGTGGTAAAAGTCCGCGGCCGCACCACCGCCGCCCCCCGCCCCGCCGGGTGCGGGGTGCGGGAAGCCGGCGGCGGCCGCGCCATTCCCGTAGAGCAGAGCGGCGGCAGCGGCGGCTGCGGCAGCAGCGGCGTGTCGGCCGCTCACCTCGGGTGCGAAGTGACAGTCGTAATATGGGGAATTGATGGGCTCCCCCGCCGCCGCAGCCGCCGCCTTGTACTTGGAGTACAGCGGGTTGACAAAGTAGGAGCTCATCGGGGAGGGGGCAGCGACGAGCGGGGGCCGCCGCCCCCGCCGCCGCCGCCGCCGGTGCCTCTACGCCGCGCTCATGCCGCCGCCGCCGCAGTCGCTGGCCCGTGCGCTCCCCTCTCCTGCTCTCCGTGTATGTGGTGACCAGGACTGGATTATAATCGCTCCCAAAATGACCTGCCTCACTGCTTTTACTATTTCCTATTAGGCACACAGCAGCCCGCGCAAGCACACACACACACACACACACACACGCACACGCTCATGAGCTCAGGGGGGACTTTTGGCTTCAGTTTACATGTGCCGCTCCTCGGGCAAGAAAAAAGCCCGGCCCAGCCCTGCCCGGATCCACCCCGGCCGCGGCACCACCGCTCCCCCCGCCGGTGCGCGCTCGCCAGGAGCTGCTGAAACCCCCGCCGCGCAGGGGCGAGGCGGCCGCGCAGATCCCGCGCGATAACCGCGGGCGCGCTGCCCGGAGCGACACCACCCGGCTCGCCCAAGCTGCACTGCCCAGACCGCGGCCTGCACCACCAGCCAGCAAGGGTAGAGCCCCTCCGAGGGAGCCGATGGCAGGCGATGGGTCTCGGGGATGTCGGTACAGGCATCTGGGGAGCCCGAGGGGCGGCAGCGTGCAGCGGCCGGGCCCCGTTGCCAGAGGACCCTCTGGATCATTTCCTTGCAGCCGAGCAGATCTCGGGGAATGAGATGCACATTTACCCTTGACTCTGTGCACGCATGGCTGAGGCTTCAGGTTAATTGATACTTAATGGAAATCATGCCTATGAATATACTTTCCATCATTTCACCCTTGGTGGACGTCATTACCAAGGGGAAAAAAAGAAAAGTGTGGGTGAGCAGTTAGTACCGCTCGGGGACTCGGTCTGAAATAAGCGAGCCCTGTTCTCTGGTAGAAGGAAGGAAGAAAAGCGCTGCCCGGTAGGCTCGGCGCTGCCCCTGCTGCTCAGGCCGACCATCCCCGCTGTCCCCCGAGCCCCAAGAGGTGTCGTTTCCAGTCCTCTCTTTCCCGATTCGTCCTGCAGTGGGAACCAGCTTTTCGGACAGACATCCTCATGAGTTCGAATCCGCCCTATTTTGGAGAGAGACGAAAAATGTAGGTGAAATATAATACAGGCCCAGCCAGAGCCATGTGTGACTGTCTGATGTGAATTGACAAAAAAATGTTTGTGGTTACATAAAAGGCATCGCAGACTCCTTCCCCATCACACCCGCTCTCCCACCACCATTCCAGCCCCCATGACGATTAACCCACTTTGTCCAGCTGACCATCCCGGCTGCCCCGCATGTGAAAGCCCGGACGGGCCTGTGCCCGCAGCAACTCCCTTGCCTGGGCAGGGGCCCCGCGGCCCAGGGCGCCTTTGGGATCTTGCAGAGACTTAGGAACTCCCGTGCAGCCCTGAGAAAGGTGGGGGAGGTGGGAGAGGCCCAGGGATCCACATACACGGATTTTTGGTGCTACACGGACTGCCAGCAGTAAAAGCCCTTTGCCAAACACCAATGGGGGAAGTCAGGAGGCCGGGTCAGGCCGGGGGGGGAGCGTCAGCAGATTGACAGTCCTCGTCCTGCAGAGGGGCACGGAGGGCTAGTGGCTGCTTCCCGCATCCGCGGCAGAGACTCCCGCCCCTCCTGCTCACGCCGCAGGGGCGTTAGTTCCGCGGGAAGCACGGTGTCGGCGCGGGGCGGCGGCTCCGCGGGCCGGGGGCGCTGCGCGGACCATACGCGGGGCGCGGCGGCGGCGCTCGGGTGGAGCGCGGGCGCCCTCTGGCGGCGCGCGGTGGTAGCGGCAGCAGCGCCCCCGCCCCGCGCTGCCCGCGCTGCCCGCGGCCCCGCTCCGACCGGTGCCGCGCCACAAGCGGGGCAGGTGATGAGAGACTCTTCCTTTGCTTTCTGGTTGGTTTGTTTGTTTGTTTGTTTGTTTGTTTGTTTTTTCCCTGGGTTTGGGTTGCGTTTCTTCCTTTTTCTTTTTTTTTTTCTTTTCTTTTTTTTTTTCGTCCTCACGAGTATACAGTGCCATTTTCTTAGCACATTTCAGTGACCCTCTTCTTTTTTTTTTTTTTTTTTTTTTTTTTTTTTTTTTTTTTTTTTTTTTTTTTTTTTTTTTTTTTTTTTGTCAGAACTATAATTAACTGCATACAAAGAATGCGCCTCGTTTACACATGGCAGCCAGGAAAAGACGCCTGAGCTTTGAAGATGCCTGCTATCGCCTTTTCGATCATGTTTCCCCACATATTACACCACGAATTCTCCATGTGTGGTAGTTTCAGTGTTATACTTTTTGTCTTGAAGATGTTATTTTGTTTTCCCTTGCTTTTATGTATTTATGGATTGATTTATGTAAACGAAAGTAAAGATGAATCTTTGTTCACCCCCTCCTTCACCACACATGCCTGTGAATTATTCGGTATAATGCGTGTGCAGGAGACTGTGCATATGTGCAAACATATATTAACACAACCAATGGGTAGGAATTAAATTATTCAGTTTGACAGTAAAAGTAATTTCCATAGAAGAACTGCATTCCGTCATTCAAGAGAGACTTTTGGCTTTCTTTCTACTATTTTGAAATAAATGCAGGCCATATTAAAACCAGGTAAACAAAAGAGAAAAATACACAAGGTAAAATCTGCCAATCTACCTGATATAAAATATTGAAAAGATAGTGTGGGTTTGGTGGCAGTTTATTAACAGAGACTCTGCTGGAATCAACACAATGGAGCGTTGTGTACAAGAATATTGTTTACGTGTTGTTATAGATCACCCCCCTCTATGGGTATTTTCGAAACTATAGAGGCTGGCATCGTAGGATTCATTGCAGTAGAATATCCAATAAAGTACATTTCAACAAATAAGTGGACTTTGTAAAATCTCTCAGTTCCATGACCTTCGGGTCTTTTTTGAGTCTGTTGCCTTGGCCCAACGCTGACATATTGAAATTTATAGTCCAAGGTTTTAAAACCTAGTTTGTCTGCATTTTTGGGCTTTTTTCCCCCCCTAACAAACACAAACATCAAAATAAGGTGGTTTCAAAGAAAAGTGCCATAGCATATCGTAAACTCATTAGGTCCAGACGTCTAGCCATCTCAATGGTTTTATTATACCACGGTTCTTCCTGTTTTAAAAGAATTATAGGTATCTTTTCGACAATGGATGGGAAGCAATGCAACACCTTTTCCTGGCAGTGCTTGCTTTTGCCTATTTTTCCCCTTTTTTTTTTTTTTTTTTTTTTTTTTTTTTACAGAGGTAAAAAACATTAAACACCAAGTCTCTCAGCTGTCCCCTTAATCTTGAATTAACCGAACTGCTCGTAAATATTTACGGGTCCTTCATTTTAATGGTTGCTCTTTAAACAAAGCAATTTTTTTACAATGAACTTCATCTCAATTATCTTGATAAAGTCATGTGTGTTTATAAATGCAGAAGGCATGTGGTTCGTTGCTAAACGAGCTCTAGCCAACAAAGCCGAACGTTTGGCAGCAGCCGTGTCCCCCCGGAGCTTCCAAGCTTCCCGTTTTAAGAGCACTGAGGCTGGAAGCGACCCACTGGGAGGAGACAAAATAAAGTAAAAGAAATACAGAAATAATGTTTAAGCGACTAGGCATCATTTTGCTTCCTTGGCTCCCGAGGACCGATGTGGAAGTATCTCTTACATGATCGCAAGGGATCGCCAATCTTTGAAAGAGCACTGGTACCTGAGGCCTGGGAACGGTACGGCGGCAGACGCACCTACCCGGCCTCTCGACACTGATCTCTAACAGCAAATGTCGATTAGGCGACGAGGAGGAAAAGTGACTTTCCTCCGACCTTAGTGGCTCCCGGAGGCCAAGCTTTCCCGAGGCCCCGGCCCAGTCGCGCCCGGCCCGCGGGAGCTGCGCGGGGGCTGCGCGGGGGCTGCGCGGCAGGGTCGGCGGCGCAGAGGGCATCGCGAGGGGCGCACAGATTTCTCCTCTCACCGCAGCGCTGTCGTTCGGTCACGGCAGACTTTATTGTGTAATAACTGACAACAATTACAACAGGTCCGTAGTTCGAGACTCGGAGTGGTTAATTAATACAACAGTCACCGGGGGCAGGGGTGGCAGCTAGCCGGGGGACCGAGAGGCATGAGGCCTGTGGTGAGCGGCTCCAAGGGTGAGACAACTTCCTAACAGTGCACTAAAGGGGTGTGGAGGGGGATAGCTCGTGGCCTCGCTGTGGCATCTATTGCGAAGGATTCAGACCTAGAAAGCAGAGGTTTGGGGAAAGATTTCATCTTAGTAAATCGTGGACAGCACAGCAACCCCCACTGATTTAAGCGGCTGTAATTTATGTTTTATTATCTTAATTATAATTAATTTCCTTACCTTTATTTTGGCAAAATAACTATCTAGTCTACATCACTTTTAAGAAACATGTCAAACATTTAACATCAGATAGAGTTCCCAAAGCTAACGTGCACTCACAATATCATCATCTAAACGGTGTGGGAAGGAAGAGGGGAGGTTTAAGCGACTCTGCAAAACACGTTGGCGAACAAGACAAAATTTCGCAAAATACCTGACATTGACCACGTTTCACTTCTATCCAAAAAAAAAAAAAAAAAAAAAAAAAAAAAAAAAAAAAAAAAAAAAAAAAAAAAAAAAAAAAAAAAAAAAAAAAAAAAAAAAAAAAAAAAAAAAAAAAAAAAAAAAAAAAAAAAAAAAAAAAGACAAGACTAGATTGATTTAAAGTCCCTGGAGTGGGAGGAGGAGAAACGTATGGGGGGCTGAGGGTGCAGGGGAAGAACAAAACCAAATAAAAAAAAAAAAATCCAAAACCGAAACACCCCCCAGCAACCAAAAACCCACCCTCACCCCAAAAAAGCCCCAAACTCAAAACTAAATCAATAATTCCCAACTACATTTCTACCCCAGCGTTAGTCTCCTTTATTGCCTTTCTCCTTGTTCATCTTTTTCATTTTCATTCTTCTGTTCTGAAACCAGATTTTGACCTGTCTCTCTGTGAGGTTTAAAATCCTAGCTACTTCGTAACGGCGGTCTCGGGTGAGGTACATGTTAAAGAGAAATTCCTTTTCCAGTTCCAGGGTTTGATACTTTGTATAGGGACAACGCTTTTTCCTGGTTGAACGAGCGTGGATCCAGTTTGCTGCAGGGTTATCTGGAAGAAGGGAGGTATATAGAGAATGGGGGGCGGGGGGAGAGAAAGGTCGTTAAATTAATTTAACGAAGGATGGACTGTTTTCACAACTTTGGAGGAATTATCATAAAAGCCTTAATGCCCCAGTCTGTTTACTGTACAAATGATGTCTTGATGGTAGGTGGTTATGTGGAGTCTTTTATGGGTGCTTGTTGCTGCTTGCGCTGGGGTAGGCGTCTAGACGTTTTTATAGGTTAGTAAAACTATCAGTTTTGCACATTCGAGCCTTACAGGTTTCGGCAATAAATCAAAGGGGCAATTTCTTTCTTTCTCTCCTTCTCTCTTTCCTTCTTTTTCTCCCTCTCTCTCTCTGCCTCTATTCCTCTCTCTCCCCCCGTTTTGTTCTGTTTTCTTTTTTTTTTTTACTTACTTGGGTCAAGTTGTTGCTGTTTCTCCTCCTTCAGATCGCTGCTCGGGCTGGGGTTGTGGCTGCAAGCGGCGGGGTCCTTGGAGCTGCCGGCAGCCGCTTTCTCCCGGGGCTCCTGGAGGAAGGAGCTGCACGTGTACTCGGGCACACCGATCCCCTGGGACTCCCGAGACGAGGAGCACTCAGTCCTTTTGGAGGAGGAGGAAGAGGAGGAGGAAGACGAGGAGGTGGTTGCTCCCGTCTCCGGCTTTATCCCGTAGTGGCGCCCGTTGGAGGAGCCGGAGCTGGACGCGGAACCGCCGCTGCTGCTGCTGCCTCCGCCGCCGCCGCCCGGGAAGCCCGGGAAGGGCTCAATCCAGGAGCGCACGTAGCGGCCAGCGTCGGCTGCCCCTAAATGGGGCTGGTGCATGTAGGGATGGTAGATCCCGGTCATTGCCGCAGACGACTGAGGGTGAACCGCGGACCAGGAGGTGGAGAACACCGTGGATTTTGGTGCAAAGCTACAAGAGGAAAAATCTGAACTCTCTGCAACACCTGATGGCCTGGAGGTCGCACTGTGACCTCCCTGGACGAATCTACTCCCGTAAACTTCTTCGCTTTCATGGCCTATGAGAGAATCGACATAATAGTTACTTATGGTGCCACTAGACGACATTTTAGGCTCCCCTCTTAGTCATATAAAAGGTTACACTGTTAACTGTATATGATACCCTCCCGGAGAACAATCGTAGTATTTTGCAGACTGCAACCCTCAACCATTGGTTGCGGAGCCCACGTGATCATATTTACCAATACTGCGAGTAAATCAATCCGCTAAACTGGGGCTGCTGTGATTAAAAAAAAAAAATCATCATCAACAGAGGCCCCGCACAGCGCGTTGTACCGCCTGCGCGCCCACACCGCACCGGGGCCGCCCGCCCGCCTGCCCTGCGCGCTTGCCCGCTAGCTCTGCCCGCTCTGCCCTGCCCTGCCCTGCCCTGTCCGCTTGCCTGCCTGCCTGCCTGCCTGCCCTAGTTGCCCGCTCACCCTGCCCGCCTTCGCTGCCCGCCTGTCTGCCCTGCCTGCCCGGGGCGCGGCGGGCGTGGCCGCGCTGGCAGCCCACGGCCGTGGCGGGTGCGGACTATTTCTTCACCTCCTTTGAGTGATTTCTGCCATTCATTTCTTAATCAATGAGAGGCAGGGTGTTTAAATAAATCCAACAGCCTTGGCTTGCTAATCACACTCCAAGCTGCTGAGGGAACCCGCTGGGAAAGGGGGATTCTTGCCTGTAAAAACAAACCATCGCAAGCTGGGACTGTAACGACTTCTCATAAAACAGGAAAATGTTACAGTAAAAGCACATTGCGGTACTTCCATATTTCAGAGCATGTGCGGGTATTATTATTCGCTCCCCCTACCCCCGGACAGAAAGTTTCCATAGAAAGGATACACTTTTAAAAAGAGATGCCCATTGTGTTGTTTTAAAGCAGGTGGAAGACCTCTGTAATGATTTTATGCCTTTCAATAAAAATTTTATGAGGTGTATTTGATTATAGATTAATGTGTCCCTAATAAAATGGACGGATGGAAACAGCAAAGCCTGTGTCTCAAAGCAAAACTGACGTGTGGCTGAACACATGCTCCTGTATCTGCGAGCCTTTGGGGCTGCACAGCTCCAACATAGCCCCCTTTTACGGTGCCCAGTGCGGCCCGGGAGGGATGCGGGCAAAGGCAGCCCCGAGGAGGCGGCCTGGCCCCGCACTGGCAGCGCGGCGGCCGCGGGCAGGGGCCGCGGGCAGGCTCCGGCTCACGGGGCTGTCGCTGACCCCCGCTCGTCGGCAGGGCTGTCTCCTCCGCCCCTAGCTCAGAGGGAGCCACGTTCAATGCCTACGTGAGACTTTTTTTGCCCACTTTGCTTTCTTTTCCATCCCCTCCCTTCCCACTCCTCCCTCCCGGCCCGGTTTTTCTTCCCCGAGAGAAACGGTGCCCGGTTAGTATAGAAAACTGGATTACCCATGGTCTTCTGCCCACGCCTGCTCCCCTGGGCGAGGGATGGTAGCTGTGTCGGGATCTGGAGGAAACGTAGAGAGTTAGTGGCGAGCCCACAGCACAACCCTCAGCACAGCCCGCCAGGGGCACGGACAACAGCGCTGGGAAAACACTTCCTACTCGTGGGCCGTTATGAGGAAGGGACTGAAAATCCTGTTTATTTAATGATTTATTACTCTCCTAGGTTGTTTTCTTCCTTTTTTCTTCTTCTTCTATTTTTTCTTTTCCTTTTTTTTTTTTTTTTTCCTATGTCATCTGACTTTAGCATTTTCTTCTGCAATTTTATAACTTGTCTTACATTGTTCCCTAGAAGCAGGGTTTGTGGTATGGCGAAGAACTTGCCCTCGTTTCACACAGATATAAATTGGTAAAGTAGGAAGATTGGTGAGCCTCCTTTTTTAATATACTTTAAACACTTGGTATGGAGTCAGAAATTTACTTCCCACTGCCGAAACTTCTTTGGTGATGTAGCGAGTATCTTTAAAGGAAAAGAGAAGGCCGTTTAAAGGTATGCAACATATAAAGGGTATTTTGGGGTATTGCTTTGCTTTTTTTGAAAAGACAACAAGCACAAAATACCTAGGTGCTTGTGGCTCTAGAAGATTCAAAACGCTTATGCCTTGGTTTTAGGAATATATACCTCTGTCCTATGAGTAAACGTGAACATGAGGAAGTATTGGCTTAAATTAAATATCAACGACAAGAGAGCAAACAGAATGCCACCAATAGAATTATGAGCAGGATCTGTCATCAAGTCGGACAACATTGGCACTATCTTGCTTTTAATTTCTTGATTTAGAAACAGCTTAGGGGAGGAATGGGCGTTGATTCTGAGCGAGCTGATTTCCCAGCGCAAACAGTAGCCACACTATTTTTCCAGTACCGTTTGAAGGTGAAAGTATGCCCAAGTATTTGCACTTCAATTTGGAGTCATGTTCATTTGCAAGCCATTTGCTGCTCTGCTTAGTATTTCTGCTCACACGGGCATTCACCCGCTCTCACACACGCATGCCCTTCCTCAGCTTCCAGCGCAGAGCCCTGCTAATAATATTTTTCAGCTATGTACAGAAAGGGTTAAGAGTCGTGAACGTCATTAACTGGATGTGTGCTACTAAAATGGAATTGCGAGAAATAAAACGAGCTCTGAGCAAACAGAAACGGTGCAGGGTGACAAAAGTAGGTCTGAAGAGGCTGGTGTACTTTTGTAAGCAGGCTGGGGAGCGTTTCTGCTCAAAAAAGCCAGTCTTGCCAGATGTTGGGAATATTTTTCCATCCACCATCTTCTGAAAGCTCTTGAGCCGACCAAAAACTGAGCTCCTTAACACTTACTAATACACAGCTTCGCATTTGTTGTGTTTCTTGGGGTTGTTTGGGGTTTTTTTTGTTTGTTTTGGGTTGTGGGGGTTTTTTTGTTGTTTGTTTTTGGTTTTTTTGTTTTTTGTTTTGTCTTGTTTTTTTGGTTTTTTTTAGCGAGCAAAGACACAAAATCAAAGTCTACACATTGTATGCACATAGTGACTGATATTTTTTAAATCAACATACGAAATTCAAATAAAATGGCACACATATTCCTGACATCTTGTAGCAGAAAGATTTTTATATCACTTACCATTTACGATCTGATTGGATGAGGATGCCCAGTTTAAGTCATAAAATTTTACTTTTTTTTTTTTCCTTTCTTTTTTTTCTCATTCAGTTTGTCAGACTGCGAACATCACACAACATTTTATCAATTAATCAATCGTTTACAGACATTTATAAATTAATTAGGTTTACATCATTTCCCGGCCCAGTCTCCACCCCAACCCTAAAAAAAAAAAAAAAAAAAAAAAAAAAAAAAAAAAAAAAAAAAAAAAAAAAAAAAAAAAAAAGGAGGGGGAGGAATGGAGCAAAAGAGAGAAAGAAAACCAGGCACACACACACAAAGACCAGAGTATGGTAAAGAAGGTACACCAGTCCAAAAAGCTGTTGATAGAGAAGGATCAGGACACCAACCTGGATCTCTGCGTTAAACATTTGTAGAAAACCAAAGGAACCGCAGTAGTTTACAGAGTTTATTGCATTATACATGCAAACAGAACATGCACAAGAAGGACAATTTGCTTCTGAACCACTACTATTCCACATATGCACCACAAGGAAATGTCTACAATGGAGAAGAAGGAAATATTCCATTTCACGAAGGACAATCTCTAAGTTCATTTGTGAGAATAGTTACATTATAATGTGCTTCTCTTTCCCCCCGCCCCCAGTTTCCCCCCGCTCTTTTTCTGAAAGTATTGAATGTACTCAAAATGTTATGGCCCGTGTAACAGCCCCACATAAATACCATTTTGTTAGTAAAAACATGAAAAAGTCACATTGCTTGGATGTTCGACAGTTCCAATAAGTTAAGACCAAATGATAATATTCAATAATAGTTACCCTGCATTACGATGAGAACAAAAATAAATTACACGTGCTAGGTTTTATATATACTCATCATAGTAATACATATTCACTTGCAGCGCTAAAAGAAGGACGAAGAGTCACATTCTATCAGAAAACAAAACAAAACAAAACAAAAAACTGGAAAATGCCGGGTTTTGCCAGAGTCTCTCCTGCTTTTAGCAAGTGGCGGTGCTGTGCCCACTCCTCACTGGTGCCCCCCCCGGGGTTAGGGTTTAAGAGAAGGTCAGATTAGCGGTCAGTTCCCGGATTCGGTTCTCCCTGCTCATCTTCTTGAGCTTCATTCTGCGGTTTTGAAACCAAATCTTGACCTGCCTGTCAGTGAGGTTTACGCTCTTACTGATCTCTAGACGGCGCTCTCGAGTGAGATACATATTGAATAAGAACTCTTTCTCTAATTCCAGTGTTTGGTGTTTAGTATAAGGACACCTCTTCTTTCTGCCACTCTTTGCAGTTAGCCAATTGCTTGTTGGAGTATCAGACTTGATTTCCTCTATCAAAATCAAAGAAGAAGAAGAAGAAAAAAAAAAATCAAAAATACCTCAGGCTGTTAGAGTGTACCCTTGGCCATGACCCCTCCTCTGCAGTTTCTGGCAGATATGGTGGATGTGGGCATTAAACACGGTTCGGATAAGGTGTGGGCACAGGGAGGGGACCTGCTGCCAGGCTGGGCTTGCCCATCCCCGAGCACGGCACCCTACTCTGTGGCCGCCCCGCTTTCCTGCCCCTGCCAGTAAGGGTCCCTCAAGTTTTCGGTCGGCGTGTAACATTTCAACAGTATTTAACCTGCCAGCCGCCCCATGAACACAACGGGTCTAGCCTCGCCATGGCCACCTCGAGCTCCCACGACACTTGCCACCAAAATATTTCAATTAAAAAATAGTGTCTCTCTCTATTTTGAAGCAGCATCCCCCCACACATCAGCTGAATCACACAAGCACACCTATAAACAGATATAGACATTTTCCCAGCCAAAACGATATACAAGAAATTTCCACCCTCTGTCTCGGATTTTTTTTTTTTCCATTTTCCTTTTAGGTTTTTTTTCCCCCACCAGAAATAAATCTGCCCAACATCAGTCTAGACCTGGGATGCTAAATAGAATTCAGATAAAGCAATTCTCAATGCACACATAGGGTAAAAATCGACCTAGAGGTTGCAAAGTACATTTTGATAAGAAAAAAATCCCGTTTTCGGATTCTTCGATACACGCCGTTCAAAAGAAAGGGTCTAGTGCACTTTTAGAGGGAAAATAAAATCAGATTACCACCACCCTTAGCTTTCAAAAGCATTTCAAAATACTGGTGCACTTTTGGAGACCAATCTAAGGTTACCTAAAGCACCACATTGAAATATTCAACCTTTGGACCAGGCAGATAGCGGGCTGCTGCTTTCGTTGTGCATTTGTTTCGAACTTTACC